GTCAAACTTCTCGATTACGACTTCAACTTTATTGTATTGACATTAGGGCGAAAATCCAATGAAGAAATTTGACAGATCGAGGTAGGTTTAGTTGTTGGCGATCGTATATACAAGGTGTTGTTTTAAAGCCGCGTCATTTTCTAGGAGGTAACCCGGCTATCGATTCTGAGTCCAATTCAATAAAAAAATTGTATTTTTCTGTAAATTGCGGAAATCCGTAAGTAAGTGCGAACCACACGCCGCCGTCTTGTAAGTAGTTTTATAATTTATATAATAATATTATTCCTAATTCCATAAAACTCCAATAAGAAACATTGCTGTCGCTTATTCTGAAATACTGTCGAACTTAAACGATTCATTATAGCCATATTTTTAACTATTGGCCTGAAACTTTCTCTGACGTTGAACCTTTATGACTTCTGTGAAATGCCACTTGGTTTCAAAACTACACCTTGTATACAAAACAATTGACATATATTATAATATACATTCATTATATATGAAGAGTCAGTATTATTGATTATTGATATGAAGAGTCGGTATTGTTATACTAAATGGTATGCTTTGTAACGAAGCCATATCTTCTGTAACTCAGTCGGTTCTAGAAAACCAATAGAGTAGTTGCTTAAATTTTTTTTAAATGTCCGTCTGGTAGATTAATTTAAAACATTGGACACGTATTTTTTCTTTTCTCACAAAATTAAATACTTTCCACGATATATTAATCTATCGTCTAAAATATCGTGGGACGTCACTATGCGCTACATTTTGTAGCACTTTGTGACGTAACGACCTCCCACTCCTAAACTTAACGCCATTTTATCTAAGTATTGCAACTTTATACGAGAAAATAAAAAAATACGGGTTTAATATTTTTTAATTATATAACTGACGGACTAATTAGATTTTTTAATTTTCATTCCCTGGCAACTACCCTATGGTTACTGTCTCTGTGCTGAATTAATCTTTGTTTTCTTAAATGCATACTGCATGATTTGGCTAGTTGTTCATATACCAACATATTAAAAAGAAAAATCGATTAAATAAAACCAATGTAAAAGAGATTTTTGACTAAAATTTTTTAGCAAATATAATAAAAAAAATATTCGAAGTACATTTGATAACATTTTTTTTATATACATAACACCACGCCTTTTATCCCCGAAGGGTTAGGCAGAGATGCGCACTACGGCACTTAATGCCATTATACAATATAACACCCAATTTTCACTATTTATGTTATGAGTCCTATGTTATAGGGGGTGAGCCTATTCCCATATACTGGGCACAATTCCAGACTCCGTGCTACTACTGAGAATTTTTTGAAACCCAGTAATACTTTGCCTGACCCCGGAATCGAACCCGAGGCCCATTGTCCGGTAGTCGCACTTGCAACCACTCGGTCAACGAGACAGTCTTTTTATATACATAACGTAATATAATACATATAACATAACGCCATTTTTATTTATATTTAAGCCTTTGGTGTGTATAAAAAATCAATTAAGGTTCATATAGACAATGTAACACCCACTCGGGGTCTTCCATAAATTACGTCACACGAATTTCATGATTTTTTGCCCCTCCCCCCGTCCTTGTCACAGCTAGTCACATTTGTGAGACCCCCCCCCCTCAGTGTGACGTCACATTTTGCTGACGTACGTAAGTATAAAATTATTGAATAGAAACAGCGGTTCCGAAATTAGTTTTATTTCTATTTAAATTACTTTAAAAAAATATTAACTCGTCGAGTACCGTATTTATAGACACAATTAAAGAACAATAGGTTGCAGTCACCGGTGATCGCTCGGTGTTTGACAGTTTAATACCAAAACACTAATATAATTATATTTCGTGTTTTATAATAGTTTTTTAAATGTGACATCACAAAGTGTAGGATCCCTCCCTCCCCCTTGTCACACAATGTCACACTTCGTCGACCCCCTCCCTACCCCTTTTTTTTTAAGGGGGGAAAATCATCGAATGTCTGCTCCCGCCTGGGTGAGGCGGAAAGGAGTGTCAGACTCTCACTGACTAAAAACCACCCCGTTCCTTCTCCTGCACGTCGAGCCGGAGCCCCGGTTACCCGTTAGGTTCTCCGCGACTCCGACCTCCCTACCCCTTAACGTGTGACCTAATTTATGGACGGCCCCTTTTCACTATTTATGTTATGAGTCCCATGTAACAGAGGGATGAATGGATACAACCCAGACTCCGTGCTATATATCATTGAGAATTTTTAAAACAACAAAATATGTAGTGGCACACCTACACCATTGTATCAAATTCTGTTATTAAATTTCCGATTTTATATTTAAACGATAAAGTTAATAATCGAATAAACAAAGGATGACGAGCTGAAGGTAGATCAGGCCAAATATGTACGGGTAATGTATCCAACATTACCCGTACATATTTGGCCGTCATCCTTTGGTATACATAGGCTGCCCTGCTGCCTACTGTATTTTACCAAAACGATAATCACATATATTTATATACATTTTCATCTTGCTGAAATTTTAAATAGACTGTACGGTCGGTGTGGTAACTGGGGAGCATTCAAGTATTACGTAACGCAATTTGGGGGGGAGGGGCGTCTCGTATATCGTTATGATGCGTTACAGGGGCGGGAGAAAGACCCCCTAACACGTATTATTTGTTTCTTTCTTTGAATAAAAAATTAGGGAAAAAATTTCAAAAATCTTCCAAAATTGCGTTATGTAATACTTGAATGCTCCCCTGGGCACTGGGCAGCCGGCTGCCGCGCAACGTGTAGCGGTTTCGATTCCTGCACGGAACAGCTAGGTTATTCTGCAACAATTCGAATAGATCAAAGTGAACTCGATTGCGGTCCGCCTTGTCATTGGTGATTGATGAGAATAATTGCAACCGATGACTTTTTTTATGACATAAGCCGGTAAACGAGCAGACGGATCACCTGATGGTAAGCAATCAGCGTCGCCCATGGACACCTGGAACACCAGAGGCGTTACAAGTGCGTTACCGGCCTTTCGGATTAGGGTTTGAGGATTGATCGTTGGGTATTCAGGAATTGGGAAGATTGGGGAAGGGGAGGGTAAGTGGGCCTCCGGTAACCTCACTCACACGACGAAACAAAACGAAAGCGTTGCTTCACGTCGGTTTTCTGTGAGGCCAGTTGTGAGCTCACTTGAAACAATCGAATTGACAGTTACAAAATAGCCTAGTTTACTCTTTATGATCTACAAATTGCTGTTCCGTGTGTGTGTGATGTGTATGTGAAATTGTATGTTTGTAAACGCACCCACGACACAGGAGACAATCCTAGTGTGGAGTAACGTTTTAATTATATAAAAATTATATAATAATATGAAACAAATAACTATAAAAATGTTGTATGTATAACAATGAAATTCCACAGAAACATTTAACTTGATACAGCAGATATTCGCTCTCTGATAAACCTGAACCTTTTATACTGCAATCTATAATCCCCTATAAAACCCTCTTATGTATAGGAAGCACAATGTCCTGCAATGGACTTCCATTGGTTTTTTTTTTACTTGTTTATTTATATGAAATTGTGATTTTTTTTATTTTCTAAAGCGGTAATGAAGATTCTTTATTAATACTGATTCATTTCAATCACTCAAATATATATATAATACTTTTTAACTTAAAAAAATATTCGCAGTTCCGTGTATGTGTATAATTATAGTATAATAGCATAGTTGTGATAGATTCCCTAAAAACATGATTTATATCAATATTTCTGTCAAAAATGTAAAAAAGAAACAAAACTACTAAATAAATATTCAATATTTAGGGATAGCAACACCAATAATCAGCTTAAAACCATAAAACTACAATTAAAGCATCACTTTTTAACTTTTATATATTATTATTATTATATGTATGTATATGACTGAAAATTGATGTTACTATCCGTTTATACAAACAAAATGTTGATCAATAACTAAAATTATGTACATTTAAAATAATAAGTACAATTCTTAATACGTCAAGTTACCTACATTAAAAAAAAGCTACCAATTTAGTAGCTTTACTTGGTTAAGTGGCAACATTATATTGATTTATTTCTAAAAATTACCATTCGAAGTTAATCACAAAATAAAATTATAACAAAATTGCATTTAATTTTAAATATGGTCATTCTATGGCCTGTTACATCATTTTTTACATTTTACACAACGCATTTTGATCTTTATTTCGTAGATATAAAAATAGTTTTGCAAATAAAGGCTCGAAATTGCGCCAGTAATTCTTTGCAGCTCATGTGAGTCTTATGATAAAAGCCATGAAGTCGAAAATTGACTAGTATAACCGCAAATAGGATTTATTAAATACATTATAACTTTTGCTAAAGGTTTTACCCCGATAAATATGAAAAAGAAATAATAATATCAAGTAATAAAGATAGAGTATTAGTTATAAGTTTCATGACATGAGACATACTTAATTAATTATTATGTTTTTCGACTTACTCACGTAATCATTTGACAAGGAACTCGTCTAGTTTCAAGCCATGCTAGAGGCTCATATTCATGAGCAGCATTCCGCGACAGTAGCCGCGTCGCGGCTCGTCAAATTCCTCGTCAAATAATTACGTAAGTAAGCCGAAAAACATAATAATTAATAGAGTATTCGTTTTTAATTATAACTAGCGTAAAAAAATAGTGAGATAAAGTATAATTTAGAGTATTTAGTATTAGTATTTAAGACTAGTCTATATATGTATGCCAAATCAGATCTGCTCAAAATTCTTCACAAATTTAATATATAATAGATCATATACCGCTGATAATAAGACTTATATTAGCTGCAGAGAATGACTGTTTTCCTCAGCCACCAAAATCAATTTTGAATCTACGACATAAAGTTTAAAATCGTGCGCATTTTACTTGTATGTACAGTATGTGGAATGTACTATGTGTATACAGGGTGATTTCAAACTGATTCACCTTTACACAGGGTGTAAGTATACTTGTTATACTTAAAATTTACGCGTAAAATATCGTGTGCCTGTGCTGCCTACCCACTTTTGTCATATTAGTGCACAGTTCTTGATCTCTGTAAAAGAAAAAAAATCATTTATACAAAGTTTATTCAAAAGATAATGAGAGTTCCGACAGACAGACAGAATCAGGGTTTGAACCTAGAACCACATGGAAGAGGAGCAGTAGGAACAGGATGGTATTTAGTCAGTAAGAGTCTGACACTCCCTCTCCCCACACCCGGGCGGAAAAAGTTATTGGATCCCCCTCAAGAAAACCCCTTGAATAAGGGAAATATTGAAATAGAGGATTATTGGGAATTCAAACATTGGGGAGATTGTGCAACCCAGGTGGGGGTAATTATGCCTCCAGTAACCTCACACACACGACGAAACACAACACAAGCGTTGTTTCACGTCGGTTTTCTGCTCGGCCGTGGTATCACTCTGGTCGAGCCGACCCATTCGTGCCGGAGCATGGCTCTCCAACACTTAAACTTCAAGACCTGTAAACGCAAGTTAACTCACCTAATATCACCCCAGCCGCCATTTCCCTTCACTAGTTTCTTGTTATGTTTAGCACCGCCCGCCGTCACCTGCGCACTCACTCGCGTCGGGTAAAGGTAAGGTTTTGCATTCTGTAGTAATTTCTGTACTTTACTAATAACTGTTGAGGCGTTACAGTTAGATTTCTTGTGGTGAATACCGCTGAAAAGAACGAAATATTGTATTTTAATAAAAGTTTAGTATAATGTCTGCCTCGTTGGGCAAGTGGTCGCAAGTGCGATTGCCGGGCAAGGGGTCTCGGGTTCGATTCCCGGGTCGGGCAAGGTATTGCTGGGGTTTTAAGAGTCTCAGTAGTAGCACGGAGTCTGGAAATGTGCCCAGTATATGGCAATAGGCTCACCTCCTATAACATGGGACTCATAACATAAATAGTAAAAAGTGGGTGTTACATTGTACAGTGGCATTAAGTGCTGAAATGTGCACCTCTGCCTACCCCTTCGGGGATAAAAAGGCGTGATGTTATGTTATGTTATGTTTAGTATAATGTATAATTCCATGAGAAATAGACTTGAGGTTATGTATGTATGTATATTGTTAGACAATTCTACAATTTTCATCAGAAAATAGACTAAATGAACTTCATTAGTTTAATCTGTATTACAGGCAGCACTAGTCGTCATATCGACGGTGTCACCTGTCTATTGTGACAGATAAATAAAGTTTCACACCTGCCGTAACACATGACGCTGGCAGAATAGTCAACTACTAAATAGTGGAGACTCAATTGCCATAGAAGAAGAAAAAAAAAACAGTTGTATCTGGCCTTCGAGCTGGAAGTTTGGCCAGAATTACGCTGTTGTTTTATAAGAATCAGTTTTATAATAATAATGTGTAAGTATTGAAATTTACTTAAAAGTATGTATGTATTTAAAAAAAAGTTGCACGCTAGAATTTTCTCCTGTATCGTGGGTGCGTTTACAAACATACAAGTTCACATACACATCACACCCAGACCCGAAACAACAATCTGTGGATCACACAAACAGTTGTTCCGTGCAGGTATCGAACCCGCGACTTGCCCAGCCAGTTGCCCAATCACCGCACCAACTACACAGTTGGTAAATGTTTGTATGTATGTATAGTATAATGTCATATGTTTTAATACTCGAAAGGCATAATAGGACCACATATACAATGTAACACCCACTTTGCGCCAGTTATGTTATGAATCCCAAGTAATAGAAGAAGAGAGAAGGATAAGCCTTGTCTCTTAGTTGTACTAACGGCTACTTAAAGTAAATATAATTTCCATTTGTTTAAGTTTCGTGTTTCTAAGAGCCGATTTTTCCAACGACAGATATATTTTAACTGAGGAATAACTTTGAAACACTTGACGATTCTTCCATACTAGTTGTCAAACGTCAATTTTATTCTTTGTAAACGAAAAATCGGACCTAAGCGTACTTAGTACTTTAACTGCCAAGTTAAAAATGGTGAAAGTAAAACGTCCGCTGGCGTCAGGCATCGGAGACTGATATCAGGGTTAAAAACATGTGGCTAGGCTTTAGAACAATATTTAATAAGAATAACACAATTTTTACACAAGCCCAATAAATAAAAAAATATATAACAATACTCACCATTCCCCAATGTGAAATACTCGTGGCCCTTTACACACTATAACTTTGAATTTTTCCCTCCCTGGCATATTTTGTGATAAATGTAACAAAGAATAATCCCAATTATAATCGTCATAGGCACAAAACTGACTCTGTTGCTTCATTATATGATTCCAGACTGTCCTATTGAATGCAAACCCCATATTATGCATACTCGAATGCCATGGTGTTATTTCTACCTGAAAACAATAAAAAAATAAACATAAAAAGAAAATTGGTAGAATTTTCGAGTTACTAATTGGCAACATTATGCACAGAACTGTCAAATTTTGGCGGGAATCTTTGACAGTTGTTCGCAGATTTTTATTTTTTATTTATTTACATTTCATCTATATAGTGTATAATTACATAATACATATTATTTAAATATAATGCTAAAAAATATATTTTACATACTAAACATGCTTTTAACAAGGCAAGCGTCATAATATACAGCTTTTTCATACAGATTGTAGAAGAAGAATGCATTTCTGAAATCCCAATAAAATATAATAATACAGAGCCTTAGACATATTAATTATCATTTAAAATAACTAAAAATAGCATGCAAAGCGTTTTATTAAACATCGACATATACTAATGGACATGCCGTACGCGTATAATCTGCAGTATTTTTTTAGTTTGAAAAGAGTGAGAGAGATAGCCTATGCTTTCGGTCTAGCGCTATCTCTTTCTCGCTCATAACGTCTTTACTACGGTACGATTTTGAGAGAGATAAAGATATACCGAAACTTCGTTTCCTCTCTTTCTTTCGGAGTGCCACAATTCTCATCTCTAAGGCATGTCCATTAGTATATGTCGTTGCTATTGAACATGCTCAAAAATGTTGAAAAATCGAACGCCTCTCGATTCGCAAGCATGCCTGAAATGAGCACGCTAATTTTAAGCAACACTCCGACATACATGCTACTAAGTGACAAGTGATCAATGGGGGCTAAAGTATTATTTTTTATTTTTTTTCTTCTTTGGGAAACAATGGGGCTAACGTTGTTGTCCAATCACAACACTTTCAAATATTGAAGATACACACGGCCACACATCAATCTATACGTCAACAGCCTATAAATGCCCACTGCTGAGCAAAGCCTCTTCTCACACGGAGAAGGTTAGAGCATTAATCACCACGCTTGCTCAATGCGGGTTGGCGATTTCAAACTTATAATTAGAAATTATAAGTCCAGGTTTCCTCACGATGTTTTTCCTTCACCGTTTGTCAGTGGTGTCTAAATAATCTTAGAAAGTACATATAACTCGGAAAAAGTCACATTGGTACTTGCCGTTGGTAGGTTTCGAACCCGCACCCTCATGCATGAGAAGTGGGCGTCTTAAACCTTCGGGCCACCACGACGACGACGACATCAATCTATACAAAACCAGTTTATCCTGGTGTCGCGTCGCATCATCTTTCCGCACATTTAACGTTCAGTTTATACTGGTTAAGTAAAGCGCGATGTGTAGCCGTGTGCACAATGGTATGACATTAGCCAATTGGGTACTTTTCTTAATCAAAAATGAATTATTTTGACTGTTCAATACAATAAAATATTTTTAAAAATCACACTTTCATTTATGAATTTTATTATAAGATTAATTTTAGAATTATTTCAGAATTTTTTTTAAGAAATAGGTATGCTGTTTGACGCTAAAAAAAAACGTGACGTCACAATACACAATCTCGTACAAAATTCATAGAAAACTGTCGTTTTTGACCGTTCGCAAAAAGAATTGAATTTGACTTGCTAAAAATATTAAAATTAAGTTGGTCATAAAATCAATTAATGAAAGTGTGATTATTTTTTAATATTATATTGTATTGAATAGTTGAAATATTTTTTTCTGATTAATGAATGTACCTAATTAGCATGAGTAACATTACAGTACCTTTATAACCAACTACGTATTATTATATAGAGATACAATGTCAACGTAAGCTTCATAGGAAATACAATAAAATTATATGTTTAATAAGCAAAACTACATTTCTACATTATTTAATATGCTTAAATTATTCGTCAGAAGCAAAAGCGAATAAATTAAGATAATTTAGTTTAGTTCGAATACATAAAAAATAGTAACCGTACGAAAAATATAAATGTTCAATTAAATAAATTAGTTTTGAAATGGAGACAGAACTATGAAAAATATGAATGCAGCCCACAGACATGCTGGCAGAATACCAATAGAAAGCCAATAATAGTTAAATAATAAATAAGTACAGGCATAAATTTAATTTTAGGCGCGTTCGGCGGTGACTGGTTGATTCATTGGCCAAGTCACAGTCAAAACCATTCATTTCAATTAGACCAGGAGGGCACTTTTGAACGTCAACAACAAAAATTTAGAAGTGAAGTTAGTTGCTCATTCCAAGGCGTAGATTCCTATGGAAAAGAACGAGCAAGAAACTCCATAGGTTACTCTTAGTTACATAGTTTGTTGGTTCGATTGTGTAAGAACAATGCAACACCTAAATCCAGTCAAAGAGATTGAAAAAGTAAATAACCTTAAAGACAATAAGTAATACAGTCTGGAGCTGACCAGTCCCAATTGACGGCGCCCGTTCACGAACATGACACGTACCCCAGCACCGCCCAACTTAACAATTTTGTAGGGAATCTAGCGTCCAAAGCTCCAATCCAAATTGGAGCCAGCCAATCACAGCGCCGAACGCGGTTTCATTTCAATTAGTTTAAACGAAAAACAAAAGCGTACAAAGGTCTCTAGTTCCTCTGCAGTATTATTAAATTTATTTTATACTAGCAGTGTCTTTAGCCAAACGCCACTTTAGCGCTTGTCTACAGAGAGAGTAGAAAACTAAATGTATGTATGAGGATGACACTGACAAGTGTCAAAATTTACGTCAATTCCATATAATTTGGTTTTCTATTCTACATGTAGACAAGCGCTAAATGATATTTGCCTACAGCTGCTGGACACTTACTCTTGAAACCAATCTCAATGTCAATGCAATTTCAATCCAATAAAATCCAATAGCTGTTACAATACCATTCAGAGTACGGAATATAAAGCCAAACTCAATACTATTTAGTTCATTCAATATCCACGCAATACGGATGCAATGGGCGCTAGTGTTCCAACTCAAGATTATGACACAATATCAATGTCGATCGATTGGAATTGGAATCAAGAGTAAGCCTATTACTTATTACTTTATTTAACTTCCCATTTGGCTAACCGTAAGCTTTGTATTTTACATGCTATCAAAATCAAAAATCAAAATCAAAATTCATTTATTCACATGCTCGTTTATCTACATGATATGCGGAACCATAGCCTAGCAAAGAATTATACTAGCCTAAAGAATTAAAAAATAATTAAAATTAAAAACTACATTTAAAATAATCGACGTCACCCTCCCCTTTTTTGAAGTCGGTTATTTTTTATTGGGACAAGCCCGCCACAACCTCCCAAAACCGCTGCAACTCCTGTAAGCCAGGATCTACAGTAGATACAACCATGAAAACACCGGAACACTGAAGTCCAACGTCCCAGAGACATGAATAACTGTCTCGGTTCCCGCAACGAAGTGAATCAGAAGATATTATAAGAGGAGAAGAAGAAAAACTATGGTTCCCACTTCCCTCGGTGAATTACTGCAGAAGACAGAATGAATTAAGCCTAAAGGCACAAAGAAGAGACTGTACAACTGGGTGAAGCCCAGTCGTCAAGCACCACGGAAATTTAACTAAAAACTAAGAAGTCTTGAAGTCGGTTAATTAATATACTAAAACCTATACCTACCGGGTACAACCTGTATATAAGTATTAAAATTATTTATCTAGCGCATGCGACCAATACCAGTAAAGCTAGATATAGGTAATATAATATTTACAAAATTACATTATGATATGGCAAGGGCAACTACGTCACAATTGAAATAAGCTCAATAGCTCTTAACCAGACACACGAATCGAACCGAAGACTGTTTCGAGTTGGCGAAAAAGTCAATAATTGGGTACTTTCCTTAATCAAAAATCAATTATTTTGACTGTTGTGCAATACAATAAAATATTAAAAAATAATCACACTTTCATTAATTGATTTTATGACCAACTTATGCCGGAATACTGCCAACTTATACTGAAACGTTACTCAATTTTAAGTCGTGCTTAAATATCGTGCCATCTCTGTCATTCTACAAAGAATTTGTAGAGACAGAACTATACTTAAGCGCGACTTAAAATTGAGTAGCGTTTCAGTATTCCGACATTAATTTTAGTATTTTTAAGAAATAACTATGCTGTTTGACGCTAAAAAAACGTGACGTCACAATACACAATCTCGTACAAAATTCATAGAAAACCGTATTTTTTGACAGTTCGAAAAAAGTATTGAATTCGATTAGTTGGCAAGTACTCAATTATTTGCCCAAGATAAAATTACTACTATATAACTGTAAGCTCGCATGCTATATATAAAACATTATTTATACAATATGCATTAGCAGTATATAAAGCCTAATGATACGAGGATGGTTAGTAGCAAAAAATCTACAATTGGGTAGTTTCCAGGGTATCAAAATTAAAAAACTAATTACTCCGTCAGTTAGATAATGAAAAAAATAAACACGTAATTTTTATTTTCTCTTATTACGTTGCAATACTTAGATAAAATGGCGCTAAGTTTAGGAGTCGTTAGGGAGGTCGTTACGTCATAACGTGCTACAAAATGTGGCACGCTGTGACGTCACACGATATTTCAAATTATTATATCGTCGAAAGTATTTAATTTTGTGAGAAAATAAAAAATACGTGTCTAAAGTTTTAAATTAATGTACATTATTACATTAAACTGAAACTACCCTATTTTTGTTGCTGTACACAAGGGTCCACATCAAGCTATGCAAAACCAGTATAAAATAACCGTCAAATGTACGGAAATGTCATACAAAACGCGACCTTGAGAAACTGGTTTTGCATAGCTTCATATAAAAATGCATTTTTTTTTTAATTACTATATACAGTACTAGCGATCCTCCCCGGCTTCGCACGGGTGCAATATACATGTATTGTATGTTACATGTATACATATAAACCTTCTTTAAGAATCACTCTATCTATTAAAGAAAACCGCATCAAAATCGGTTGCGTAGTTTTAAAGATCTAAGCATACATAGGGACAGACAGACGGCGGATAGCGACTCTGTTTTATACTATGTAGTGATTAACCATTCCCTTAACATTAGCATACTTAATATATACATAGTTCGAACCAACGTACATTAACTTTATTTTAAATAAGCCCAACTATTTAATTATACTTACAACTTTATACATAATATCAAGCTGATTAACTTCTGAGGGAGTAGACAGAGGTGTTTTATTTTTTTCAAGACGGTCATAAGTTGTACTATTACACATTTTAAGGTTATATATTAATTACCGGACACTTATATATAATCAATAAATATATGTATATATCTGACTGCCTCGTTGGCCGAGTGATTGCAAGTGCGACTGCCGGGCAAGGGATCTCGGGTTCGATTCCCGGATCGGGCAAGCCTTACTGGGTTTTTAAAACACATCTCAGTAATAGCACAGAGTCTGCAATAGGGTAGTTTACTAATTTTTATTTTAATGTCCGTCTGGTAGATTATTTTAAAACATTAGACACGTATTTTTTCTTTTCTCACAAAATTAAATGCTTTTGACGATATATTGATTTAAAATGTCGCGTGACGTCACAGCGTGCTACAAAATGTACCACGTTATGACGTAACGACCTTCCACTCCTAAACTTAACGCCATTTTATTTAAGTATTGTAACTTTATATGAGAAAATAAAAAAATACGTGTCTAGTATTTTCTTATTATCTAACTGACGGACTAATTAGATTTTAAATTTTCTTACCCTGGAAACTACCCTATTGTGCCCGGTATGAGGCAATAGGCTTACCCCCTGTTACATGGGACTCATAACATAAATAGTGAAAAGTGGGTGTTACATTGTACAGTGGCATTAAGTGCCGTAATGTGCACCTCGGTCTACCCCATCGAGGATAAAAGACTTTATGTTATATACAAGGTGTAGTTTTGAAACCGTGACATTTCTCGGGGGCATGTCACAGAAGTCATAAAGGTTCAAAGTAAGAGAAAGTTTCGGGCCAATAGTTAAAAATACGGCTATAACAAATCGTTTAAGTTCGACATGATTACAGAATAAGCGACAGCAATGTTTCTTATTGGAGTTTTATGGAATTAGGAATAATATCAATTACGTGTTTGAGTTTGTGTGTGTTAAGCCGCGTTATAAAGCTAGTTACAAGACGGCGGCGTGTAGTTCGCACTTACGGATTTCCGTAATTTACAGAAAAATTAAAAATTTTTATATACATTTTTTTTTTATTGATTCGGACTCAAAATCTATAGCCGAGTTACCTCCTGGCGTGGCTTTAAAACAACACCTTGTATATACCTATATTTATATATTATATATATATATTATAAGTATAAACCTTTTGTGTAGCTGTGTACAGATGCGGGTACACCTGGAAGTTCCAGGTCGGGTTGTTTTCATGTTTCTTTCTTCTTTGTTCATTAGCCAGCTTCACTTGCTGTATGTAGTTCAGATTCAAATTCTTCTTCCTCTATATAAGGTTATTAATAATTTTATATATATATATAGGTATATAAAAAAAAACTATCTCGGGAACAAAGAGGCGGAGCCACTAGCGTGTTTTTTTTCATTTTATCGAAACCTATATAAATTAAAAAATATATATTCTTTTTTTTATAATTTTGGGACGACGTTGGACCACTATCTCGCCTGGTGGTAAGCGATGACGCGGTCTACGATGGAGCACGTCGTCCCATAAGCAACCTATTCAGTATTCACTCGGGCCTTGAAGACACCCAGGTTATACTCTTCAGGAAATACAGACTCTGGCAAAGAATTCCACTCCTTAGCAGTACGCACAAGGAAGCTTGATGCGAAGAGCTTCGTGCGTGTGGGTGGAACATCTACCATGAACCGGTGACGCTTCGTCGATTGTCTTGTGGTACGATGATGGAAAGGACTAGGGGGAATCAAGTTGTGCAATTCCCCCGCACACTCCCCGAAATGTATCCGGTAGAAAACTGAAAGGGACCTTAGACAACAAAACGCTCTCATTGTAAAGGTAACTAAATGCCCTTTTATACGACACTAGCTACTTCCGCGCGGTTGCACACGCTCTGCTCAGCTCCTATTGGTCGTACCGTGATGTTTTATAGCCTATAGCCATCCTCGATAAATGCGCTATCCAACACTAAAAGAATTATTCAAATCAGACTTGTAGTTACGGAGATTAGCGCGTTCAAACAAACAAACAAACAAACTCTTCTGCTTTATATAATAATAATAAATAATATAATATATATATAAGTAATAAGTATAAGAGTATAAGATACGTTACCAATTAAAAAAATACTTGAATCAGAAAATATTTATCAAGAAATGAAAAAGAAAAACGCTAGTGGCTCCTTTTCTTTGTTTCTGGTCTAAATGTATTTAAAAATATATAAAATGTTATCTATACTAGGATTGTCTCCTATGTCGTGTGTACGTTTACAAACATACAAGTTCACATACACATCACACACACACAGAACAAGAAATTGTGCATCAGACTTGTGCTGTGCAGGTATCAAATTCGCTACGGCCGCCATAGCTCTGACCAGGCAGTTGGAGTAAAAATTTATGTAAAAATACGGCATACTTTATATGGATAAAATCATCTCAACTCATAATTATGAGTTCCGGCGTAGTCCGAAACTAGTCGAGCTTTCCTCGAAAAGTTCACATTAGAAGCAAATAACAGGAGACAATCCAAGCATTAAATAAGTAATCTTCCAATAAACAAAAATACATTTTTTTTTAAACTGAAATTAGGGATTAGGGCTCACCTTATCACCGTTCACGTGATATTGGTAGGTCTTTAGGTAGGTCCCCAAAGACAGCATCTCACATTGGGGGCAACTCTTATCAGCTGTTGACTTCAGAAGACTTAGTATGTGCAAGAAGTCTTCTGCTACATAGTGGTCCTCTTCTAAGAAGAGAACGTAACCTGAAAAATAAATAAATTTAAACTACTTCCGCGCAGTTTCACACGCTCTGCTCAGCTCCTATTGGTCGTAGCGTGATGTTTAATAGCCTATAGCCATCCTCGATAAATGCGCTATCCAACACAAAAAGAATTATTCAAATCAGACTTGTAGTTACGGAGATTAGCGCGTTCAAACATACAAACAAAAAAACAAACTCTTCCGCTTTATATAATAGTATGATATTTTTTTAAGAAATACGCTTTTATGTAACTTATCATTAATGGTCACGCAAACTTAATGTTTGTACATTTCAGCTCAATCGGTTGAAGATAATCGGCTTTAAGTGCCTCTTTGGCCGCGTGGTCGTAAGTGCGACTTCCGGGCAAGGGGTCTCGGATTCTATTCCCGGGTAGGGCAAAGTATTAATGGGTTTTTAAAAAAAAATCAGTAGTAGCATGGAGCCTGGAATTGTACCCGGTATATGGCAATAGGTTCACCTCTATTACATGGGACTCATAACATAAATAGTGAAAAGTGGGTGTTACATTGTACAGTGGATAATGTGCACCTCTGCCTACCCCTTAGGGGATAAAAGGCGTGATATTATGTAATAAAAGTGTTTTTTTTAGAAATACGGTTTTATGCAACTTAATTTGTATACCAGCTCAATCGGTTTTAACCCTTTGAGTACACCAGGATCATGTTGGAGGATCGGATCTTGGAAATGGTCGGATCCATTTCGGAGCCTGGGCCGGGCGGCGTGGACTTTGGGGGCTGGGATGCCCCGACATTTCACTGGACAAATGGAGTGCCGGGATGCGGCAAAACTACATGGATAATAAACAAATTCGAAGCGGAAAGAGATTTAATCGTCACCACAACAACTGAAGCAGCAAATGACCTCAGAGGCAAACTATCCTGCCGAATCGGAGGATTAGTCAAATCCAAAGTCCGAACAATGGCATCCATTTTAGTGAACGGATTAAAAGAGCAAGAGATCTGCCACCGAATCATGGTTGATGAGGCTCTCATGAATCACTTTGGGGCCATTGTGATGGCGGCCCGAATAACTCGGGCCAAAGAAGTTCTGCTGATTGGTGACATAAATCAACTTCCCTTCATTGACCGAGACAACCTCTTCCCCCTCATTTACAACCGCCCTACACACGTCGTGGCTATTAGCCAAGAACTTCTCTGCACTCACAGAAACCCTATGGATGTGGCATATGCTCTTAGTACTGTGTACAGTGGCATATATTCGTCCGCGTCGGGTGTGAGATCCCTTGAGTTAAAAAGCTTCTCAGGGTCGCGAATACCCAAATCTCCTCCGAACACGTTATACCTGGTACACACTCAGGTAGAAAAGGAATCCCTTAAAAACCAGGGATACGGATCGGGTGTGGGATCACGCGTACTCACAATACACGAGGCTCAGGGGCTTTCGTACGCGGCAGTGGTTGTTGTGAATACAGAGGAGAAGAAACAGCGGATACACGACAGTGTATCGCACGCCGTGGTAGCTATATCCCGTCACACTAACAGCTGTGTTTACTACACGAATATCAGTGACGACGCGATCAGCAAATTAATCAGACGAGCGGTGGGTGAGAGTGAGCGGGGGATCCTGGACTATAACTTGAAAATGGCTATCAGCAACAGGGACATGGCGGTAGTGGGCGCTCTTTTGGGTGGGGAGGGCTCGCTGTAAGCTTGAATTGTGATGCAAGCGTGACATTAATATATATTTGTGTGTGTTTAATAATGTTAAAATGTAGTAAATATAATGTAACGTAATGTAAATTTTATCAATAAGACTGACAAAATACATTGGCACTACTGGAATCGGCTTACTGCTGCGTGAGCAGACGTCATGCATTCTTAAATGTTCTACAGTCGGTGGCGCTGTGGACTGGGTCGCTCCGTTCCCTACGAAATGGTTGATCGGACCGATTGCTGGCCCTCACGTCATGCTCGTGAACGGGCGCCTTCTGCTGGAGCAGGTCGGCTCGCTCATCGCGCGTGTGGGCCGATCCAGTAAGGTTAATGTAAATGTAATAAAACATGTATTGTGTATATATAGATATTAGACACAACCTTCTTTGTGGAAAAAAAATGTGGTTAATGTAGCACGTAAGATTTTTGTAACAATTAATTTTGACTGTAAATTAAAAGATAATGTAATGGAATGACAAGGGCACGGACAAGAGTCCGTGGAGAATAAGAAATGTAATATTTAAAAAAAAAAAAAAAAACCCTTTGAGTAATGACGGTTCATTATAGACACAATGAAAGAACAATAGGTTGCGGTCACCGGTGTCCTCGCGGTGTTTGACAGTTTAACAAAGAGAAAAGAAAGAACACTATCGTATTTTTTTTTTTTAAGGGGGGAAAATCATCGAATGACTGCTCCCACCTGGGTGAGGCGGAAGGGAGTGTCAGACTCTTACTGACTAAAAACCACCCCGTTCCTTCTCCTGCACGTCGAGCCGGAGCCCCGGTTACCCGTTAGGTTCTCCGCGACAACACTATCGTATAGGAACATCTCGTACATGTTAGAACAGAGATTAACTCGTCGAGTACCGGTTTTATAGACACAATTAAAGAACAATAGGTCGCGGTCACCGGTGACCGCTTGGTGTTTGACAGATTAAGTGTAGATGAGCCACGCTTTGGCACGACTGGGCCGGCTCGATCACGACCTCACAGAAAACCGACTTGAAACAATACTTGCGTTGTGTTTCGTTGTGCGAGTGAGGTTACCGGCCTTTTGGGGATTAAAGAAAGAAAGAAAAAACATTTATTCAGCACCAGGCACGATGCAGCATAAATTAGGATTAGGATTTTGTGATATGTTGGGGATACAGGGATTGGAGAGATTGGGGAAGAGAGAGAGCGGGGGGGGGGGGAATTGGGCCTCCGGTAACCTCACTCACACGACGAAACACAACGCAAGCGTTTTTTCACGTCGGTTTTCTGCTCGGCCGTGGTATCACTCCGGTCGAGCCGGCCCATTCGTGCCGAAGCATGGCTCTCCCACACTTCAGTGGTGGGTAAAATATAATTAAATAATAATAAGTACGGGCAAGTATTACTATGGTTTTAAAAAAATCTCAGTAGTAGCACGGAGTCTGGAATTGTGCCCGGTATATGGCAATAGGCTCACCCCCTATTACATAGGACTCATAACATAAATAGTGAAAAGTGGCTGTTACATTGTACAGTGGCATAATGTGCACCTCTGCCTACCCCTTCGAGGATAAAAGGCGTGATGTATCCTTACTAATATTATAAATCGTAAGTGAGTTTGTTTGTTTGTTCCGCTTTCACGCCATAACTACTAAACCGATTGCTTTGAATTTTTGCAGATGTATACTTAGAAGTCCAGATTAAATAATAGAGTACTTTTTAACGCGGAAAAATTTGATATTCCCGAGGAAAAACAAAAGTATTGGTATAGATGGCGCTGTGTGTATTCGTATATGTCACATTGGCTTTTTATCCTTTTGTGACGCGAGCGAAGCCGCAGGTAAAAGTTAGTATTATATAATTACCTGTATGTCCAGCAGTACACTGCAACTGGTTAAATATCCTGTTGGCTTTCCACCACCAGTGGTGTTTCGTCTGAGTATACTTCGCCTCCCTGTAGTGCCCGTGCAGGTCTGGGTACAAAGCATTGTTGCATTCCAGTTTCACTGCTCTGGAAATGTAGAGAGAATCATAATAAATTTTGGGCTAATTTTTAACTGTAGAATAAAATTGATATTTGACAATTATGGAAGAATTGTCAAAACGCATACTTAAATATCATTATGAGTACTTAAATAAATTTATGCATTCGAATATTATGCTTAATCATTACTATGATTAGAGAAATTATGCGTGAAACAAGTGAATTTATTTCTGCAAATAGGCTACAAGGCAGCACTTTTACACGTCAATTTTATCAAGCGAACGATGAGGTCGACATTTCCTAACTGACTACTCTGAGAAGAAATGCCGAAACAAACTCAGAGGTCTGTCTCTTTTAAAGTCCAGACAATATGTATAAAAGATTATGTGTGAGAACCGTGCAAGTTTTTTCTGTAGTGGCCTTTTGAGGAAAGAACCACAACAGTTTGAGCGGACCCGCTCTGAAGGCAGTACGCATGTGTCGGTTTACAGTCGGCTCAATTAACAGGTGAGGCTGAGTGATTCGACGAACAATACCAACCTAAAGAACATTTGCGTGGGTCGCACAAATACTCAAACTGTCAGAGTATGAGTAAGAAATAAGAAAAGAAATGGCGAGGCAAAGTCTCGCACGGTCCTAGCACTAACAATAAAGCGTAAGCTGTTATGCTTAGTTTATGCGAAAATATAATTATGCCAAACAAAATTATGCTAAGTTCAATTTTTAAACGTCTTAATTTTTTATGCAAATCGTTACCTAACCTAACAGTCCAACTGTACAAGTACGTACGTGACGGTAAGTAACTCTTAGTAAAGATATGGTTTAAGGGGTGGTGGCTTTCTATAATTTCAATTTCAAGGTGTGAGTTCATAAAAAATATATAAAAAAAATTTAAACATAATCTGCCAAATCATTTTGCACCTTAAACAAAAGCACTTACTGTTCAAATTTAGTGTCCCTGGGACAGTCGTTGGGATCCATTCCCGGAAACTCATGTGGATGTGTCTGGATGGAATATGGGTAGAATATTTGCATCACCTGTAAATTGAAAATGGTATTTATTTTATAAAAATATAGAGTGTAGTTTAGAATGAACGAAGATAATGTTGACAAAAATACTTATTGGTTATATGACTTCGTTCGCCGCGCTCGAATCTCAAGATTATAAGCCCCGGTTTCGCTCGAAATTAGTCTAATATTGTGTGTCCGAAGTATTATTTTAATCTAATTATTATTCTCAAGAAAATTAAAATTATTATTCTCTTTTTCTATAATAAATATATATCATCATAATCACGTCTTTTGTCCCCGAAGGCGTAGCCAGAGGTGCAAATTACGGCACTTAACTCGTCGAGTACCGTATTTATAGACACAATTAAAGAACAATAGGTTGCGGTCACCCGTGACCGCTTGGTGTTTGACAGTTTAATGCCACTGTACAATGTAACACCCACTTTTCACGATTTATGTTATGAGTCCCATGTAACAGGGGGTGAGCCTATTGCCATATACCGGGCACAATTCCAGACTCCGAGCTACTGAGATTATTTTTAATAATTGAAATTATAGTATTCTTAGATTCGAGGTGTCAAGGTGGCCCGGAAGTTGAAGAAGACGCCCGCTGCTCATGCATGAGGATGCGGATTTGAAACCTACCAACGGCAATTGTACCTATGTGACTTTTTCCGAGTTATATGTACTTTCAAGATTATCGAGACACCACTGACAAACGGTGAAGGAAAAACATCGTGAGGAAACCTGGACTTATAATTTCTAATTATAAGTTTGAAATCGCCAACCCGCATTGAGCAAGCGTGGTGGTTAATGCTCTAACCTTCTCCGTGTGAGAAGAGGCTTTGCTCAGCAGTGGGCATTTATAGGCTGTTGATGATGATGATGATACTTCGATTCGAGCGTAGATTGAAATCCATTTCAGAGATCGACTAGGTATAATTGGGTTTTACCAATTTTACTTCTTCGAGAAATCGACGTATCGAAGTCGTTACGTTATTTTTTTTATACAAGGTGTGGTTTTGAAGCTGTTTCATTTCTCGGGGGCATGTCACAGAAGTCATAAAGGTTCAATGTAAGAGAAAATTGCGGGCCAATAGTTAAAAATACGGCTATAATGAATCGTTTAAGTTCGACAGTATTTCAGAATAAGCGACAGCAATGCTTCTTATTGGAGTTTTATGGAATTAGGAATAATATCAATTACGTGTTTGAGTTTGTGTGTGTTAAGCCGCGTTATAAAGCTAGTTACAAGACGGCGGCGTGTAGTTCACACTTACGGAATTACGTAATTTACAGAAAAATCCTTACTTCCTTACTTATAATAATATTATAAATCTGAAAGTGAGTTTGTTTGTTTGTTTGTTTGTTCCACCTTCACGCAATAACTACTCAACCGATTGCTTTGATTTTTTGGAGATGTAAATTTAGAAGTCCGGATTAAATAATAGGATACTTTTTAACCCGGAAAAAATTGAGATTCCCGAGGAAAAACAAAAGTATTGGTATAGATGGCGCTGTGTGTATTGGTATATGTCACATAGGCTACTTTTTATTCTTTTGTGTCGCGAGCGAAGCCGCGGGTAAAAGCTAGTAAAAAATATTTGTTCTAATTTTTTTATTGATTCGTTCTCAGGATCGGTAGCCGAGTTACCTCCTAGAAAATGACGCGGCTTTAAAACAACACCTTGTATAACATACCTTAGTAAAATCGATGCTCCTGACTAATGTATTAATTTCTTCGTCATAGTAATCGTGGGAGAATATTAGAAGTGTCCTGTCTATCTCCTTCGCTTGCGCTAGCGACACGATCAGGTGGCGAAGGTACGTCAGTCTGGTGTGTACCTGGAATTAGAAAAAATATACAATAAATATTATGCGTCGCGATCTGCGCGCGCCTCAAAGAGCCATCAGACCACCATGGATGGTGCCCAATAGAGCTGATGCCGATACGGAGTCGCGGAGAACCTAACGGGTTACCGGGGCTCCGGCTCGGAGAGCAGGAGTAGGAACGGGGTGGTTTTAGTTTTTAGAGTCTGACACTCCCTGCCGCCTCACCCAGGCGGGAACAGTCATTTGATGACTTTGCCCCCTCAAAGAAAAAAGAAAAAATATCCTCTTAATTATTTTCAGACGCAAAAATGCAACCATATAATTAGGTACTTCATCAAAAATAAATAATTTTGACTGTTCAATACAATGAAATATTAAAAAAGAATCACACTTTCATTAATTGATTTTATGTCTAAATCAATTGTAGTATTTTTTCAGCAACTTTTTTAAGAAATAAGTAGGCTGCAAAATTAAAAAAAATAAGTATGCTGTTTAACTCGTCGAGTACCGGTTTTATAGACACAATTAAAGAACAATAGGTCGCGGTCACCGGTGACCGCTTGGTATTTGACAGTTTAACGATACAAAAACGTGACGTCACAATTCACAATCTCGTACAAAATTCATAGAAAGCTGTCGTTTTTGACAGTTCGAAAAAAGTATTGAATGCGACTTGGCAAGTACCCAATTGCTTCATTGTTACATGTAAGCAATCGGCGTCGCCCATGGACACACGGAACACTAGAGGCGTTACAAGTGCGTTACCGGCCTTTTGGGACGCGAAACGATAGACAAGAGAATGCTCTTATAACTCCCCTAGTGTGTGTTTCGTGTGTCCATGGGCGACACCGATTGCTTACCGTCAGGTACGATGAGGTGATAACTAGAGCAACATCAGTTCAATTGCAATATCTATATCTATACATATAATAAAACCGTATAAAAGTCAAAACTGTACATTGAATATTTTTTTAAAGAATACTGGGGCGTGATTACAATCAATATCGAAGCCAAAAATTAGGTTTTTAGAATTTATGTCTGTTTATCTGTTTGTCTGTATGTATGTCCGGGAAGATCTTGAAAAGTGCTGCATGGATTTACTTCAAATTTTGCATGAATATTACTAACAGGTCAACACATAGACTACATATTATCACGCTATCATCTTCGGGGGAGGAGCCCTATATTAGGTACTGAATCAATTAAGACGGCATTCTTACCGTACCGTATCAAGGGATATTCTATCCCTTGATAAAGACTAATTCAAAAGCCGAAATTTGTAACAAACATAAGTTGTCTCTTATTATGTTATTTAGTTTTTACTTGGGTATGTATGTATGTATGTAAGTATATAGTACTATTATATGATATAAGTATTGGATGTATGTGTACATATACATATATGTATGACTGTATATATAAGTATCTAAGTAAGTATTTATATATAGTTATTTATTATCAATATTTGCTTAGTCACCTGCCACTTTCATCTCTGCACCACCTTAAGGTCGACTATAAGACAATGCCCAAGGCATTAAGTCCACCTGTATATTTATTACTGTACTAAGTCTTAAATAAATAAAATTAATTTTGCCAGAAGCCATTCTACACTGCAAAGTCGCGGAAAACAGCTAGTATAAAATACAGATCAATTTAGAATCTAGGTAAAATCCGTCACAGATCAACCTCGAAACACAATTTCAATTCAATAATGTAAAACATGAATAAAAAGAGGATACAATTTAAACGCAAAACTATTTCACCTCGCCCGCTCAGTGTGTTTAAAAAAAATAAACGTCAAAATGAAATGACAGTTATTGTCACAGTGTATTTATAAATATATTATCGTGACGATAATATATTTTATTTTTATTTATTATTACAGTTTGAATTTTATAAATCGCCATGTTGATGGAAGATGATAGCGACGACGTATCTGTATGATAATTTTATAATTAAATACATTATTTATAAATGTTACATTGTACATCTACTATATAAAAATAAGACGAGTTTTCCTTCCTGAAACTTTCGCTATAACTCCAGAACGCACGAACCGGTTTTAGATTGAGTGTGCTCCGTGAGGTTTATAAAATATAAAATTTAAAAAAAGTGTTCTTCATCTTTTAATCACCAAATGAAATATTACATAAAATGAAGCCATCTGGTGGCAAAACGGAGTTCGCCGGGGTTTGCTAGTTATTTATAATTAATACAGCTTAGAACCGCATGCCCACAATGGATATTAGCTATTTATAAACTTTTCTATAAAAAAAAACTGCATCAGTATTCGTTGTGTAGTTTTAAAAATCTAAGCATATCTACATATGCTTAGATTTTAACAGACAGGACAGACAAATATGTTTACGCTACGAACTTACAATGTGATTTCTACCGCGCCTACCTCGGTGGCGGTACGGAGATTTATTTTCAAAACTCACGAGACCGCACTTTCCTGCGGTCTCCCGCGGTTGCGATCATCGCCTGCAAACTTGGCCTTTATTATTACAATCAGTTGAGTTCCAGACCGGCCCTCCCATTGCGATCACCCGCCAACCGATCACAGAGACATAAATATCCCAAACCTCAAATACTTAACCGCAAAAGACCGGTAACGCATCTGTTACTCCTCTGGTGTTTCAGGTGTCCATGGGCGGCGCCGATTGCTTATTATGAAGTGATCCGTCTGGCATAAGATGGCATAAGCCGTTAAACGAGCAGACGGATCACCTGATGGTAAGCAATCGGCGTCGCCTATGGACACCTGAAACACCAGAGGCTTCACAAGTGCGTTACCGGCCTTTTGGGGATTAGGAGTTTGAGGATCGTTGGGGATTCAGGAATTGGGGAGATTAGGGAAGAGGGGAGGGTAATTGGGCCTCCGGTAACCTCACTCACACGACGAAACACAACGCAAGCGTTGTTTCGCGTCGGTTTTCTGTGAGGCCGTGGTATCACTCCGGTCAAGCCGGCCCATTCGTGCCGAAGCATGGCTCTTGGAACACTTAAAAACATCACATTGATTACAGATTTGCGTAAAACATGTGGAAGAAGCGCCAAGGAGACGTCCGAAAAAGATCAAGATACCACGGCGGGCACCGTCTATAGTTGTAGAGCCGCCTAGGGTTATGATTATGACAGCCGGTATTAAGCCGAAACCAGTGTAAGTCCATCCTAATCCACTAGGAGATCATAACTGCTGAATTAAAGCTTTAAGAGCCCCTTAAAAACGGCGGTGCTCTTCTCAAACATAGCTTTCCCAAGTTCTGTGTACTTTCTAAGATTATTTTGACACTAAACCACAAACGGTGAAGGAAAACATCGTGAGGAAACCTGCGCTTATAATTTCTAATTATAAGTTTGAAATCGCCAACCCGCTTTGAGCAAGCGTTGTGTGCTCAAACCTTCTCCGTGTGAGAAGAGACGTTTAGTCAGCAGTGGCCACTTATAGGCTGATGATAAGTCAGAGTAGAAAAGTAACAACCCCGACTCGTCCCGCGGGTGGCGTATACCTGACTATGGGATTATATATTTGAAAGATACCGAGCAACAGCGCTCTCTGATAAACCTGAACCTTTTATACTGCGATCTCCAACCCGCCTGCCTGCGGAGATTATGACAAACCCTCTTATGTAGAGGATGCTCATAGTCCAATAGGGACTGTCACTGGCTATTGATGATAACAATTGAACATAATTTGTCCTGGGCACAGAATTTCTAATTATAAGTTTGAAATCGCCAACCCGCCGCATTAAGCAAGCGTTATTAATGCTCAAACCTTCTCCGTGTGAGAAAAAGCCTTAGGTCAGCAGTGCTTTTGATGTAAAACATTTATTTTATAACTTAACATCACGCCTTTTATCCAGAAGTGCACATTGCGCCACTGTACAATGTAACACCCACTTTTAACTATTTATGTTATGAGTCCCATGTAATAGAGGGTGAGTCTATTGCCATATACCGGGCACGATTCCAGACTCCGTGCTACTACTGAGATTTTTTTTAAATAGATACCCAGTAATACTTTCCTCGGCCCGTTGCAGTCGCACTTGCGACCACTCGGCCAACGATTCAGTTATTTTATTTTACAGTAAACTACACAAGTGCCTAGTCTCTCCTCCTACTCTGTACGAGCTAACCGCTGCGGTAGTGGACAAATTGCAATACCCTGACCCCTTCCAGTGGACTGAATACAATGTAGCTCAATGGATGGAATGGAATCTTGGATTTCCAGAATACAAGGTACTTTAAACTTTACGGAGCCGCGGAGGGCATAACGGGTAACCGGGGCTCCGGCTCGACGTGCAGGAGAAGGAACGGGGTTGTTTTTACTCAGTAAGAGTCTGACACTCCCTTTCGCCTCACCCAGGCAGGTGCAGTCATTCGATGATTTTCCCCCCTTAAAAAAAGTATAATCTGACCCCATAGGTTAAATATTACATTGCAGGAATGCATCTTAGACAATAAAATAAATGGACGAAGACTACTTCGTTTCGAAGACCCATCACAGCTGCCGAAGATAAATATCCATGACTTCGAACATATTAAAGTAAGAAACACTTATTTAAATACCATTAATTCATAGTCTGTATTTCCTGAAGGGTATAAGCTGGGTGTCTTCAAGGCCCGAGTGAATAGGTTGCTTATGGGTCGACGGGCTTCATCGTAGGCCGCATCATCGTGCACCACCAAGCGAGATAGTGGTCAAACGTCGGCCCATCTATTGAAACTATTATGTTGAAACTACACCTTGTATATAAAAATGAAACCCGTTTCCCGTTGTCACGCCATAACTTGAGAACGGCTAGATCGATTTGGCTGATTTTTTTGTTGTGTTTGTTATCGTCAGGAGAAGGTTCTTACGACAGAAAAAAGTCCTGAAAATCCTACGGGAGCGGCGGAAGCTAGTTAAATATAAATAAAAGCCCGTATCAGTCCAATGGTGGGGTCTATTTTAGGTCACAGGATGGGGCAAATGAAGAGAAGTTTTTTGTCCAACCACAGCAGTTGCT